GTTTTGGGTGGGAGGTTTGGGTTGGGGACTTGGGTTGGGGTTTGGTGGAGTTGGGTTGGACTTGGTTGGGGTTTTTTTTGGCTGAACAGGGTGTGGGCAGAGCCTGGCCGGGGCTGCTGCTCCTCAAGATCTTTCCACATCTTCTCCATTTATGGTTCATTCCTTTGGACCTCACAGGAAAGCAAACGTGGTCCTGGAAACCAGACAACTGGCCATGAAGATCTTTGAAGACTACACGGTCTCCTGGTACTGGATAATCATGTGAGCACGAGGGGCCGAGCTACGTGGTGCCACCATCCCTCCCGTGCCCAAATATGGGGCAAAAACTCCAGAATTCCCAATTTTTGGGTGGTTTTTTTCCCACCTCACGTCCACGGAAAGCGCTGAGAGATGGGAGAGGTGTCTTGGGATGAGTTTCTTGGGGTCCTCCTCACCTTCCATGCCCACTGCCACCACTAGTGGACATCTTTCATGTTGCCCCGTTGTTGGGGAAGGAGAAGAAGCCACGTGGACCAGTGAGGGGCTGGGTTTTGTTGACCTCTTGCTGCCTTCCTCCCCACAGAGGCCTCGTCATCTCCATGGTGGCCAGCTTGATCTTCATCGTCCTGCTGCGGTTCCTGGCCGGGATCATGGTCTGGGTGATGATTGTGATGGTGATCCTGGTGCTGGGCTATGGTGAGGAAGGGACCTGGAGCTTCTCCTTGGCTCATCCCCATTTTCCTTGTCCTCGTTTTAGGTGGGATTAGCACGATAGAAGGTCCATAGTCCAAGATTTTTGGGGTCTTCTAGCATGGGTGGGGTTGAGCAGAGCCCGTCGGCGTCTCGGTCGTTGCTTCTCAGGAGAATTGTGACCATTTTGGGGCTTTTTCACCACAGGAATCTTCCACTGTTACATGGAATATGCCAAACTCAAAGGAGAAGCAGGTTCAGATGTCTCCTTGAAGGACCTGGGGTTTCAGACAGACCTTCGTGTCTACCTCCACCTCCGGCAGACGTGGTTGGCGTTCAGTGAGTCCTCTGGGACAGGGGACAACGTGGAGGTTTTTGGGGCTTCTTGGGTCATCTTCGTGGCCTGTTGCAAGGAGTTGGGCTGAGGGAGGCTTGAGCTTGATGCCACCTCTGCCACGGAAGGTGGCCACCAAGGTGGGGACAACCAGGATCGACCGGCCACGGGGCGGGCGCCGCCTTTTTGGTGGTGTGGGCCATCTCCTGAAGGAACGTTGGGTGGCTTTGGGAAGGCAGAGGTGGTCGTCGGGTGGCCTTCAGGCTCTTCTTCTCCTCCCAGTGATCATCCTCTGCGTGGTGGAGGTGGTGATCATCCTTCTCCTCATCTTCCTCCGCAAGAGGATCCTCATCGCCATCGCGCTCATCAAGGAGGCCAGCAGGTCCTGGTGGCCCCCAACCACACGGGGGGGGCTGTTTTCACCTGGGGGTTGATGGGAGGACTTTGGTTGAGGTCCATCCATGAAGGTCCTCGTGTCCCCAGGAGGATTTTCACCAGGTTTTAACCTTCTTCTCTGCAGGGCTGTTGGCCACGTCATGATGTCCTTGCTCTTCCCCTTGTGCACCTTCTTTCTGCTGTGTCTCTGCATTGCCTACTGGGCCAGCACCGCCGTGTATCCTTTCTCCTGCTCCTCAGGAAGGAACCTTCTCCCCAACCCAAGGTCCTCCAGGTCCTTAACCATCCCCCCCATGGGATGGGTGCCACGTCCGTTGACCAAACCACCCCCTTAAATGTCCTCAGTGGAGCTTGAAATCCTCCCAGACTCGTTTGGGTCAGAGGAAACCTTTTGAGGTTCATCTAACCCAACCTCCTGCTGGGGTGGGGATGGGGTTTGGGTCAGCAAAATGGCATCTCCTTGACCCCTGCCCCTGCAGTTTCCTCTCCACCTCCAATGAGGCCATCTACAAGGTGTTCAACGAGAGCGCCTGCCAGTTCTCCGGCCAGACCTGCAAACCAGAGGTGAGGACTTGGGGTTCAGTGGTGGTGGGAGAGTTGGGTGAGGGTTGGACTTGATGATCTTCAAGGTCTTGGCCAACCTTCATGGTTCTATGATTCTCCTGAGCTTCCTGAGTGCCATATCTAGATGTTTTTGGAAGCCTTCCAGGGGTGGTGTCTCCACCACCATCACCTTGGTGTGATATCTCAGTGGCATCTGCCATGATTCATCCACCAGGAGGGTTTTGGTGTGATATCTCAGTGACAACCACCACGATTCATCCATCAGGAGGGTTTTGGTGTGATATCTCAGTGGCAACCACCACGATTCATCCACCAGGAGGGTTTTTAGGATGTGACAAATTATCCTGGTGGCTTTTGGAGCCTCTTGGAGGTGACATTCCACCCATTCTGAGCTTTTTTCACCTCCTGTCATTACATCTCCAAGCTGTTGAGTGTCTAAAGCTGTTTGAAGAACCCATGTGGAAAAAAACCCAGCAGGAGGATATCTCCTGAGCCTGGAGGTGGCTTTGGGTGGACCAAAAAGCCGCCGTCCCGCCGCGATGAGTCAACATCTGCTCTCCTCTCTTCCAGACCTTCAACACCAGCAATGTCACCAAGCTGTGCCCAGATGCCCAGTGCCTCTTTGCCTTCTACGGTGGGGAGACAGCCTATCACAAGTACCTCATCATCCTCCAGTTCTTCAACGTCTTCATGTTCTTCTGGTTGGCCAACTTCGTCATCGCCTTGGGCCAGGTGACCTTGGCGGGGGCCTTCGCCTCCTACTACTGGGCCTTCAAGAAACCAGATGACATGCCAGCCTTCCCCCTCTTCTCCTCCTTTGGCCGTGCCCTGCGGTAGGTCCCAACTCCAGGAGGACTCGTGAGGTTCTTGAGGTTGTCCTCTTCTTCATTGGAAGGGTCTTCTTCAGGTATCACACGGGCTCGCTGGCCTTCGGCTCGCTGATCCTCGCCATGGTGCAGATCATCAGGGTCCTTCTGGAGTATCTGGACCACAGGTTGAAAGGTAGGCAAGCTGAGAGGGTTGAGGGCCTTCAAGTTGCACCCAGAGAGGGGTTTTCATTGGGTATTAGGAGGAGTTTTTCTCACTGGGAGAGTGGTTGGACGTTGGGACGGGGAGGTGGTGGAGTCATCATCCATGGAGGTGCTCAAAAAATGAGTAGGTGGTCTTCAGACTCATCAAAGTCTCATAGAATTGAGGCTGTGGCCTCATGGTTAGGGAGATGATGAAATGAAGGTTGGACTGGTCTCATGGTTATGGGGATGTTGAGATGAATGTTGGACTGGTCTGGTGGTTATGGGGGTGTTGAGGTGAAGGTTGGACTGGTCTGGTGGTTATGGGGCTGTTGAGGTGAAGGTTGGACTGGTCTGGTGGTTATGGGGGTGTTGAGGTGAAGGTTGGACTGGTCTGGTGGTTAGGGGGATGTTGAGGTGAAGGTTGGACTGGTCTGGTGGTTAGGGGGATGTTGAGGTGAAGGTTGGACTGGTCTGGTGGTTAGGGGGATGTTGAGGTGAAGGTTGGACTGGTCTGGTGGTTAGGGGGATGTTGAGGTGAAGGTTGGACTGGTCTGGTGGTTAGGGGGATGTTGAGGTGAAGGTTGGACTGGTCTGGTGGTTAGGGGGATGTTGAGGTGAAGGTTGGACTGGTCTGGTGGTTAGGGGGATGTTGAGGTGAAGGTTGGACTGGTCTGGTGGTTAGGGGGATGTTGAGGTGAAGGTTGGACTGGTCTGGTGGTCAGGGGGATGTTGAGGTGAAGGTTGGACTGGTCTAATGGTCAGGGAGATGTTGAGGTGAAGGTTGGACTGGTCTCATGGTTATGGGGATGTTGAGGTGAAGGTTGGACTGGTCTAATGGTCAGGGAGATGTGGAGGTGAAGGTTGGACTGGTCTCATGGTTATGGGGATGTTGAGGTGAAGGTTGGACTCGATGAACCTCCAGGTCCTTTCCAACCCTGAGTAGACAAACGAGGTCAACAGCTCCTACATCTCTTGGTGCCAGAGGAACAATTCCAGTCTTTGGGTAGAGAACTGAGATCTTCCCTTCAGGATCCCTTAGATCTTCCTCCAAGAGCCATTTCATGGGGCAGGAGCTGAGGGACAAGCCATGGCTGCTGGGTGATGTCCACGTGGGTGGCAGGGACATCAATGTCTAGCCCTAAAACGAAGCTTTGGAGGAGCACGTGAGGCTGGGACGGGGGAGATCTCTCATGGAAGTTGCTTCTGGAGGAGAAGATCTCTCTCGTTGTGGTTCCTCAACCCTCTCCCGTGGTCTTTCTCCAGCTGCAGATAATAAGTTTGCCAAGTTTCTCCTGAGCTGCTTGAAGTGCTGCTTCTGGTGCCTGGAAAAATTCCTCAAGTTCCTCAACAGGAACGCCTACATCATGGTAAGAGTCACCCAACCATGATGCCCAAAGGGTCTAGACTGCAGTTGGGGGGCACCTCAAGGCTCAGAGGTTTCTTTGGGGGGGCTGTTGGGAGCTTTGTCTTCTTGCTGTCAGGAGAAAATGAAGATTTTTTTGGGTGTTTCCCAGCTCTTTGGCTGGAAAACCTTCACCTCAACCCCAACATTTGGACTTGGAGAGGGACCTTCTCAGGTTCATCTCTTGTTGTCCACCTGTGGTTGGACAAGAAACGCTTCCAGGGTGGATTTACTCTGGTTTTACTCCACGGTGGGATGAATTGTCCCCATTTCTCAGTGGTGAGGCTCCATTTCTCTCTTCTCCACCCCTTTTTGGATCTCCTCTAGATCGCCATCTACGGCACCAACTTCTGCACCTCGGCCAGGAACGCCTTCTTCCTCCTCATGAGGAACATCATCAGGTGAGGGACTGGGCTTGGGTGCTCAACAGCACCTGAACTTCTCTCCAAATCTAAAGATCAACCCTTCCTGCCTTGGTTTTGACCTTCTGAAGGACATTTTTGGCCTCATCTCTGCCCCTTGGCCACCTCCTCCCAAGCTCCCGTGGGAATTTGGGGTGGGGATGGCTGTGAGATGTTCCTCTCTCTTGGTTCCAGGGTGGCTGTTCTGGATAAAGTCACAGATTTCCTCTTCTTCCTGGGGAAACTCCTCATTGTGGGAAGTGTGGGTAAGTGGTTGGGGGGCCTCCAAGTTTCTCCTCGGGGTTTGTGGTTGCTCCAGGAGGGTTTGTAGCCAGCTCCACCTTCTCAAAACCTCCATTCCCTTCACCCTTCTTGTGAAATTGCTCCTTTTTGTCCCATTTTACCACCTCCCCTCAACTCCTTCCCCCTTCCAGCATCCCACAAGCCCCTTTCCCATCCTCTTTTCCAGGAATTCTTGCCTTCTTCTTCTTCACCCATCGGATAAAGCTGGTCCAAGACACGGCCCCACCTCTGAATTACTACTGGGTGCCTATTTTGGTGAGCCACTTTTCTGGCCTTTTGGATGATTTTTTTTAGGTGGAATAAAGAAGTCTGAGCCACAAAATGCCTCCAAACCACCCCTCTCCTGGCTGCTGTTGAAGGACCTTTTGTTGAAGGTGTTTCCTCCAAGCTCCCAGCAACAAGCCCTTTGTTTTAACCCGGCCTCGAAGAGGCGTCTCGCCCAACTTGACCTCCCTCCACCATCCTGACTCCTTTCTTTTATCCTCCACGGGGGCTGCTCCAAACAATCCTGCCCTGTTGGGGTTTCTCCTTGAGGAATTCAAGGGATTCAGCTTTTCTCCCAAGCTTCTCAGATCCTGAGGAGGAGACCCTCACAATTGTCTCTTTCAGACGGTCATCGTGGGCTCCTACCTCATCGCCCACGGGTTCTTCAGCGTCTATGGCATGTGTGTGGACACCCTCTTCCTCTGCTTCTGTGAGTAGCTGCTCTCCAAACTCCCATCTCCTGCTGGGACAGGAATCCCTGGTCTCCAAATCCACCTTCTTCTTTGGGGTGGAACTCCCACGTTGTCCACATTTGGGGTTGGCTCCAAATTCCTGCGGTTTTGGGGTTTTTTCTCTCTCCCCTTTGCCTTCTTCTCAACATCTTCTCCCCTCTCTCTTTGCCACAGCCTGTCCTGGGTCTCCTTGTGGCCTCTCTTGGTTCTTTGTTTTGGTGCTTTTGGGCTTGGTGGAACTTTAACTGCAACTAACTGAAATTTTCCTTTTTTTTTTTCTCCTTTCTCCTTTTTTTTTCTCCTTTTTTTTTCCCTTCCTCTTTTTTTCTCCTTCTCTTTCTCCCCCCTTTCCTCTTGTGTTTCTCCTTCTCTTTCTCTTTTTTTTCCTCATTCTTTTTTCTTCTTTTTTTTCCCCTTCCTCTTATTTTTTTCCCCCTTCTCTCTCCTTTTTTTTCTCATTCTTTTTCTTCTTTATTTCCCCCTTCCTCTTTTTTTTCCCCCTTCTTTCTCCTTTTTTTCTCATTCT